AGTGCTCTAATAGGGTGATATGGTACTACAAGGTCATTAAGATAAGATGGGGCCTGATTATTTTGTGTGGGAGGATTATTATCCTCTGACAGGTGGGTGATTCTGATCTTGGTCACATGGTTTTTATGTTTTTATGTTTGGCTCAGCTGATGAAAACAAAATGAGCTGAAGTGGTGAAACAGAAGGGAGGGGCTGAGTGCTTCGGAGCCCAGAGATCTGCAGCTCAAAGGTTAAATGACGACCGTCCTCTAACCTCTGAGCTGCAGATTTTCTCCTTCAAATCTCAGCGTGCTCGCTCGCTGCGTGAACGCACAGTTTATCGTGCCAACAAAGCAGCTGTGTCACCAAAGACACGCTTCAAACCTGAGAGATCAGGACTCGAGTTTATCTCTAGGCCTTTAAATATGGAGAGTTCATATTTTTATCAGCTTTAAAGTGCAGTGGGCTGATTCCAGTCTGCAGAGCTGGCTTCATCAGTTTGACAGACACACTCAGGCCAAGTTTCCAGGAGAGAAAAGCAAAATTTGACCTTCTCGCCTCTCTTAACGTCAGTTTCCTCGTCTTGCGTAATCTTTGCAATAACAGTGTCTTTGTTTTGTATCCTGGCAGTCTGCTCTGTGTCAGTAACACGACGCTGGACCGCGACGCTGACTCACAGGATGAACACGATGTTATTTTGGAAAGTGAGCATTATCACAGACAACTGAGGGAAGTCTTACCTTCACTTAGTTTGCTTATACCGAGGCTCCTCACATCACACGGATAAATCCGGGACCGTGAGCTCTGGCATGGTGGTGAAGGATGGAGGTGACGGCGTTGCTGTGTGTCGCCCTCGGCGGGCTCTCTGCGCTCACACTCAAACACGGTCACTCCTCATTATCTGACACCTCCTCTCCTCCCTCCACCCCTCCCTCAGCCATCCTGGTGAATCTCTTTAACTTCCTGTTGCTCTGCAGCAGTCACCACCTCACACAGTCACAGCACAACCCACACTCAGTCTGTCCAAGCAGAGAGCACTCATCTCACCTGCACAGGTGCAGCAGCAGGGTTCCCAGGTGGTGTCCACAGACCACTGCTCTCTGCCACCTGTGGAGACGAGGACCCAACGCATGGAGCTGCACGGTGCCGAGCACAGCTCCAGCTGAAGCATGCCGGACCCCCACGGGGCGACTCCTCTGGTCTGGCTGTATGGAACGAACGGTTTGATGGTGGCTTTCTGTCGCAGTTTCAGGTCTGGCTGAATCAAGTGTGATGAGGTCTGTTCACCATTAAAATCATTACAACATTCGTCAAATCACAACAGTCACCGTGAGACGCTGTAAGGTAAAGAGCCTCCAGTCATACAGAGAAACCCCAACAAACAGTCAACAGTGGAAAGGAAGAACCCCCATCTGACAGGAAGAAACCTCGGGGGGCAGGTTTGTCAGTTTCTGACAGAATCAGGACTCCTGATTGGTCCTCGGCTCCCGGCAGAGATGACTCATCAAACCAAACCAGCGTCACAGTTTCAGGATTCAGCAGAAGAGGCTGAATGACTTTATTATTTCTAGCTTGATGTGTCCACAGTCCCACGAACACCACTGTGAGGCCCACAGAGAAGGCCGTGTGACGGACAGGAAGTGAGCGAAACAGCGGATTTATCCCCCTGACTGAATGCTGCCTCTGCTCTCATTGGAGATCTGAACAGTTTAATAAAGAAAGAAGTGCCTCACATTGTGAAACAGCAAAGCCATCCTGTCCGAGGCCGTGGGGAGGGTCTGTGTTCGGCACATTAGGCTAAGCTCCTCCTCCACGCTGTGCGCTCAGGGTGGAATGCGAGTGGGCGTGTTGGCTTTGTGGAGCTGAGGGCCAGCGGGTTCACGGGCGGGAGTGCAAGGAAAACAGCGGTTGGCGGTTTTCCCGCTCAGACGTTGGGCACTCCTGGAGCACATGATCACTGTGTGTGTGTGTGTGTGTGTGTGTGTGTGTCTGTGTGTGTGTGTGTGTGTGTGTGTACAGTACAAT